CGATCGGTGGGTTAGTACAGTAGTCATTTTTAGTTACCGTAAGCTACAGTAAGCTGGCTACAGTATGTACAGCTACTGTAGTCCGTCCGGTGCCACCGCCCTACTAGGGGGTATAAGATAGCGGGGCACCGGGCTGGAGGTAAACCGAGGCAAGCACGCCTCCCCTTACTTCCTACCCTAGTCCTTTTACCGTACGGTTAAGTAAGTCCCTCAGGTTTCCAGCTCGCCACCGGTCGTACTGCTCTACACCCCAGTACGACTGCGCGTGTCCAGTGCCGTGTACCTCCCTTGTCCAGTGCTTCCTACCGTTCCGGATTATTCTACCTGACACTCCTGTGTAGCGGTCCCCCAGGCTCCCTCATTTTTAGGTACAGCCTGTCCTTTTCCGTTTACGGTTTAGCGTCCCTACGGTTGTACCACACTGCACATGCGATTCATTTGTATCGAATACTCAAACTTCGAGCTGTGAACATGTCAAAATCGTTTCCACGGAGAGAGCTTTCATAGAACAGATTAATACAATTCTGAGGGATGGCGAAAGCCATTTCGGTGCTCACATCCCAGGAGATATGGAGCAGTTCCCAGTGGCACAGTTGCGACGGGATGCAGGAAATAGGATAACTTCTCGAACCCGGCAAGCCTTACGAGGATGGTCGTTTTGGGTAGTTTTTGATTCGCATCGCAGAGTATTCACACCGGTATTGTGGTGCGAAGGGAACCATTTCAATGTCAAAATTGCCGTTCTTCTACCTACAAAAGAGGGATCTGTGTCCACGAAACGTCCTGCGCGCTGGCAAGCAGAAATGATTCAAGCGTTGAGATTCTCAGCGTTGATGGCGAGCGCGAATTGGATGAGGTTGCAGAAGGTATCGATTTCAACGAAGGGTTTGGCGGAGAAAATGGATCCGAAGATGGGAAATACCTTCGCAACGACCACTTGAGGAGCTTGATGATGTGTCCTGGAGACGTCAACGCCACTAGTGTATTGTCAAGGATGCTTGAGTCTTCCGAACCCGGCACCCGTCTGCATTTAAACGATGGTAGCCTGGCAAGGTGTCCAAATTGTGGTAACAAACAAGGAAATCATATGCATTTCTGGTTCCGTTAAATCCGGCTATTTACGCTTTCGCACGGCGCCCCATCGGTGACATTCACAGACTGGAAGTGTGGTCACTGTAGTCAAATCGTCTTCTTCTCAGGGCAGTGGCTAGGTATATTTCCGGTCAGGAAGGGCTCTGCTTTCACTGTTGAGATCCTTAACGCGTATTTGCAGAGCGTTTGCTACCGAGGCCTATCAATGAGAAATTCCTACTTTGCAGCGAAGCTTTTCTCGGCGGCGGTGAGCACTCAACACAGATTGGAAGGCAGAGATTTATTTGCCAGCATATCAGGGGAAGCTGAACAGAGCAGGAGGAGAGCCAATGAAGCTCTAAGGTACTTTCTTGACACAGTTGACGTGCAGAGCGAAAAGGTGACCTGGAAACTATTTTCATGCGATGAATGTGAGGTACCGCTTTCTCAGTCAGACAAAATGGAATTGGGGTTGACAGAAAGCGATGGAATGAAGCGATTCAAAGCTATCGTAATAGATGGCACCGCTGCAGGTTTCCTGGGGAAGCTCGCACCTTTCCGAAGAGATGCTCACAAGCTATCAGCTCCAGCCGCAATAAGGAGAAATCAGCGGATGGTAAAAGCAATCGAGCACCGCAAGGCAATCAAGCAAATGTGCAAATTTGCACGTCGAGAAATAAGGAGTTCATCCATGAATGTGGGAAACGAAATCCATTTCCATCTTACAGGCATGAATTCGCCATAAAGCCGTCAATGAAACCCCTTCACGTAGAAATGATGAGACAGTACTTGGAGCCAAACACTTGCTTTTGTGGGAGATCATGGCTTCGTGATGTGGAACACGACGAAAAATGCATTAGGAAATGGCAAAAGTTCGAAAAATCCGACGATGCGGTCGAAGTTCTACAACTGCTCAGGATGACTTTTGGCATCCAAGAGAAATATACTGAAATTAAACAACAGATGAGTGATGAATCTGAGAAAGAGTTGGGAGAACTTCCCGATAGGGAGGAAGTGGACAGCGAGTCATGTGATGAGGACGGCGAGCTCGGCCCTCGTTGCAGAAAAGGCATTTGGGTTGGTAGTGTGCTGGTGTTGGTCCTAAAAAGAATGACTCAAATTTTGGAATCCCTTCTGGATCTGGTCGAGTTCCTCCTAACTGAACATGTGGGTTTGGTGTACATCATGCCATTCAACCCAAGTGAACGTGATGATTTGAAGGTGTGCTGGAACCGCTTTACTCGTCCAGGAGTCCTTAGAAGGAGCTGCCGGGCAATGGCAGAACCATCTTTTTGCATGCATAGAAGACTGACGGACAATCTCAACGACTTTGCTCATTGCAACCATAATACAAAATTTTCGTTCTTTGAATATCCATGCCTGCAATGCTGTGAGAATGTCTGCAATGAACTTATGAATGTCCGAAGGGTCAACCCTGTCGTTTCGAGATTTCTATTCGAGCTTCTAAGCTCAAGAACTCACATATCTCAGGCAAGAAATATGGCTGACGTTGTCTCCCAGTGCATGACACGTCACATCGAGAAGGCGGAGGAATTTTTTCGAACGTTGGACAATAAAATCTCCCCGGAATCTGTTAAGTTCTGGGAGTCGTATGCATCTGTCACAGAGACCCAAATCAGAGACGGAACGAGATCTGGATTAATTAATCACCATCGTGGAGAAAGGAATGATTCGAGAAGCGGGGTGGATACTGATACAGACTCATTGCGTAAAGATCAGGAAGTAAGCGGAATTTGTTCCCCTGGAAGACGTCAGTGTCGCCCTAGAATTGTTTTCGAGGGAGCGGAGACACATCACTGCACCAAAAAATATTTTCTTTCGGATAGACATTCTCTTGGACCTCTGACTGTAAAGTGCGCTTGTGAAAATCCGAAAGTAATCGGGTTTGTGGTCATGACAAGAGCTGAGTCCACGTCACTTGCGTTGTCAACAGCATTGAGCCACTTTCAAATCCCACCTCGAGTCATATACTATGATAGTGCATGTAACATGTTCTCATCCACTATTCTGAGAACCCCCTGGCTACTTCACTGGAGCCGCCTGGTGGTGGACCGTTTTCATTACAAATCGCACAAGTGCTGTTCCTTTTTTGACAGGGACAGCTACGCAGAACTCGACACCCAGCGTACCACAACAGCAGAGTCCTTTAATGCACGCATCGATAGAGTCATCCACCATATGCGTTACCTTAAGGGACAGAATCTTATTCCGTTTCTGAGAATTCGGTTTGCATTTCTCAATCTTGCTGCTGAGTACCAAAGGAATAATAACGTAGCAGATATGGAAGATGTAGATCTGACTACTTTCTTGTCCAATATTGTAACATGCGACTGCCCTGTTTGTGAGTGGTTAAACGAAGACAAGGAGGGAAGGCTAGGTCAAAACCCAATGGAACTCGTGTAAAACAGATGGCTCATCGAATCTATGAGCACTTTTGCTGCACAGTTTTGTGTACTCAAAATCCCTTCTGCGTTGCATATAGGCAATAAAAAGCTCATTATCGCTCCTAATCATTTATGCACCGCCTGTTGCACTCCTGATAGACCTCTTCGATCTAGGAGCTCAATTTGGACCATGTAGCCCTCCTTCGCAGGCATGTGTTGAGCTTGTAAACGGGAATCTCGCACGCACTCGCTCTGTTGCTGATTGCTGTTACGGCTACGGGATGATAACTGGATAACCGGTAGCTGCTATTTGTAAGTGTATCTGGGCAGATATTTCCTGTATAGATTCGAATGTCCGAAACGCTTGAAATTATAGCTCACCTTCGGAATAATTTTCAATGCTTTTTGACAAAGCATGCACATTTTCGAGACAGTTCCCTTTTCATTACAGCGTTACTATCGCTCTGCAACAGCCCCGCTTGCTAAGGTCACGCAGTTCCTGAAGGCCCATCCCGGCCGGCAAAGTAACCTGGGAAAATGACCCCGTGAGGCAAATTTCCCGAATCGTCGATCTGAATGAATATATGCGGGATTTTGGGGGTCCAGAAAAGCTTCTTCATTGGGTCCTCCATACTTTAAGAAATCGCTCATATTGTGTGAGAATATGTACCTTCAAAGAAGGACTATTCCGCTGGGACCTCCAGACATTGCGAATCAGCAAATCGTTCTGCTGTTCGATTATCTTTATAGAAAGTGCCTGCGTTGGGCCGAGCCTAGTAATCATACCTCCTCCAGCTTTTCCAACGTGCCCTTATCGGGAGGGGATAGTTTTTACGTGCACTGTACAGTGCGCGAAATTAGAATAAATACACCCATCGAGCACAACATAAACTTCACTTCCTGAGCCCCTTTTTAAGAATGGCTTCGTGTACAGTACCACCGCAACGCAATACAAACGTCTGTATAGGCCAAATAGTGTATGAGGATACTGTTCTCGCGCTATTTCTATAAAACCGCGCGAAACTGGGATACATACGCGAAATCCCATATAGCACAGTACATTGAAGGCGCCAAAACAAGCGTTGATTGCAATATATCTTGCTATAAACGTGAGCAACTGGACGTTTACCATTCTTCTCTGCAACTGGAAGCGCGAATTCAGCGGAAACCACAATTGCAATGCCCCGGGGTCCTGCAATTACCGATATCGAGCGCGGACAAATATTGGCACTCCACAACGAATGCAACTCCTTCAGACGCATTGCGCAGATGGTTCATCGCTCGGTGGGAGCAGTGCAGGGTGTAGTGCGTCAAGGCTTTAAACATAAGCACCCCAAGCACTGGAAAGGAAACCAGAAGATCTCCGAAACCCAAAAGCGGGCTATAATTCGTGAAGCTTTAAAGGGTGAAGATAGTGCAAGAACAATTCAGGCCGAGCTGAAATTGCCAATCTGTCATAGACGTGTCCAGAAAATCTTCAGCGCAGTTCCATATCTCAAGTATAAAAAGATGACGGCACCACAAATGACCCCTCTGCACAAAGAAAAGAGGGTAAAGTGGTGTCGTAAATTCATAAGTAAAGGCGAAAGTTTCTGGAACGCTGTGGTGTTTAGCGATGAGAAGAAGTTTAATGGTGACGGTCCGGATGGTTTTGCATCTTATTGGCACGACCTTCGCACTACAGAGCGCATTTTTTCCAAGCGTCAAAATGGCGGGTTTTCCGTCATGGTTTGGGGGGCTGTTAGTCTCTATGGTGTATCTTCGATGATGTTCATTGATGGGAAGCAGGACTCTAAGAAGTACGTTGATATTTTGCGTCATGGCTTACTGCCGTTTGCGGCCGAGGTGTTCGGAGAAGAACAACGCTGGTTTTTTCAGCAAGATAATGCGCCGATACACACCTCTGGTTTTACGAGAAGCTGGCTCTCTGAGCATTCTATCTCTACTCTACCGTGGCCAGCGAAGTCCCCCGACGTTAACATTATAGGAAATGTTTGGGGCGTGATGGCGAGGATGGTTTACGCCAGGGGTAAGCTCTACCAAAATGTTGAGGATTTGAAGGTGGCTATTGAGGAAGCATGGTCTACTGTAGGGTCGGGCCTTTTATTGACGCTTTACAAGAGTCTTCCTTGTCGCATGCATGCCGTCATGGATGCGCGAGGTGGCGCAACTAAGTATTAAAGGCTTGTTTGTGCTCTGTGTCATATCAAATTTCGCGTATTTATATCAATTTCGTCCACGTTTTTAAAGATATCTCGATAACGGTGCCTGTTATCATTGTTTTGAGTTGACAGGCGTTTTTTTCGGCACGTGTGGGCCCTGGATACGTCCCAGTTTATGAACGGGCCGCCTTTTAAGTGTTCACATTTTTCTCGTCGATGGTGTATTTATTCTAATTTCGCGCACTGTACCTTGCATCCCCCAGACCGAGCGACATCGTAGACCAACTCCTGCTACGACCCGGCCACACACATCCACTCCTTAACCTTCCCCCACCAAAATGGCTGCCGTCACCCGTCAGGGCCCCATCTACTTGCGCATGATGCAAAAGCTAACCGCCGCGCTGCGTCCCGTCACCCTCAACCTCATCGACGAGTCGCACCTCCACGCGGGCCACAAGGAAAGCCCTGGCCTGCCGGAAACCCATTTCAACCTCACCGTCGTCTCGCCAGAGTTCGAGGGCATGTCCATGCTGCAGCGCCACCGCAAGGTCTACGCCATCGTCGCCGACGAGATCAACGACCGCGTCCACGCCCTCGCCCTCAAGACCCGCACCCCCACCGAGGACGCCCAGGGCCAGTGACCTCCCGCCCCGCACACGCTGCCTCAAAGGTAGTCCGCCCGCAGAATCGCATCCAGCAGGTACACCTGCGAAAAATACCCCACGCCGCGCGCATGCCCGTACAGCCACTGCAGCTCGTACTTGCCCAGCTCCCGCATCGCACGCGTCTCGCGCATGTATCGCCTGTCCGCCCGTATCACCGGGTCCCGCAGCTCCAGGTTGCGTAGGAGCGACTCGTCTCTTGCCGTCAGCGCCTCCCCCCACATCCCGATCGACGCATTGCGCTCGATGTGTGACGCCCGCAGCCCGAGCCACCGCACGGTGCACACTACCCAGGTTCCATTTGTGCGAAGCTTTCAACGTTAGTCATCGCACCGCGTGGAGGAGGGGATCGTGAATTGATGCCGTACCGAAGCGACTCCCTTCCACAGCCGACCGCACGCTACCGCGCCGGTAGCATTGGAGTACGCCGAGGCCATGCGGGTTGAAGTCTGCAACCCCGAGCACCGGTATCCTGTTGGTATCCGCAAATTGTATTTTGTTCGTTTGGCCAACGCACGTCGGTCAGCATATGCTTCGTTACCCGAACTGTGGAATTGGATTCGCTTACTTGAGCCGTTGCTCCAAGAGACTCGCCAACGCTCGAGTCGCAACTGACGGGTAGCCCTTCCCGCAGAGGAGGATGCATGGCAGTAGTTCATAGAACCTGTCTTGCACCAGTCGTGAGAATATCCCAAACTTTTCGATGACTGATTTATGAAAACAAGCATGGGAGTGAGATATTTTGTCAGAACACCTCAGCCCAAATCATGACCATACCACTTTCTGTGTCGGTAGGTATGTTCCATACTTAGAATATACCGAGCGGTCGAGTGTACCACAAGCGAGCATGCCACCCTTACGTCGCCTGGGATGGGCCATCCATTCTGCAGTTAACGAGTCCGAAGAAAGAGTGTAAGTATAGGGTTGTAGTCCGTCAGCAATGAGAGTGTTAGCTGGAGTCCTGCCCCCAAGTCCGTACCGTTCCAACATGCTCGCAATCAACTTGATAAACAGAACCGCTTTTTGCTAAGCGCAAGCAGCCCGCAACCACGCCTCTCGTAGCAGCTCCTACGTTGAGAGCAAACCGGGGAACACCCAATGTCGCGGAGGCATCCAAAACGATGTCGTTGAGCTGTTGCTGATTGTCAAACGAATCAATCAGGAGATAATAAAGCTCTCGTTGAGCGATTCGTTTGCCCTCGCGTAGTAGCCGGTGAACGACACTCAGAACATCGAACAGCTGCTCGTTTTTTCTCGCGTTTCTTTGAGTGACCCTGCGAAGCACTACCTGTTCGCCAAGCTGGATGGCCCCGGTCGCTACGTCGTCTACTACGTTGGATTGAGAACGGCGTATCATCGCAATTGCTCCATCGGGGTTACCACTTACGACGTTCTCGTGATAAGCAGAAACGAGCGCCTCGATTCGCGCTATAACGACCGATGGTTCTTCATCATTCTCAAGGGGAAGCTCTACCATCCCGTGAGCTGCGAGAATATCACGTCTTGCAAACTCCATCTCGTGTTGCAGAGAACTGGATAAATATTCTCGTAGCGCCAGGAACGGATTTTGCGTGGTGATGTAAACAGCGAAGCGTAGGACAAGAAGTTTGCTCGTGTAGAGGTGCTGGAGGTTATTTCATGTGTAGAAGAATGCAGCGTTTCGGTTCGAGACACAGTTTTGCTTTGCAGGAAATGATTTGGTCTGTTCCTTTCGTTTCAGAGATCGTTCTTTCCATTTATTGCCAAAGTACACGAGACCATGATCCCCTCATGGTGCTTGTCGATGCAAAGTTGGTCCCAATACGGTCGGCGCACTTTGCAATGCCTTTTTCACTTTCATCTAGGACGAGTTGTCTGATGAAACCTCTGAACTTCTCTGAATATCAATCGATTCATTCCCATCCGTATCTTCCTCCCTTACTAGAACAAACTGGCCCTCGTTCTTCGCATACTCAGGCACCCTAGCCCGCAAAGTTTGATCGATCAGCGCATTATTCTCCGAAATCCTTCTCGTGGTGTATTGCCGCATAGCAACGCATACGTGCTTGGTAATTAACGACACCTGCTCCTTCACAATGCTTTCCGCATTCCATTGCGTCCTCAGATTCGACTCAATAAGCTTCTTCAACGAATTGACGTTGCACTCAACCCTCTCCAACCTTGAAAACACATCCGACTCGTCCTCCACCTTCCCCCGCGCGGTGATGTCGTTCCTCAATTGCTCGACCGACGACCCGAGCCCATCGATCATATTCGTAACCTTCAACAAGCTATCCCGAATACCCTCCTCAAACCCGGAATTTAACGCGACCATATCATCCGCCTGCTTAAGCGACTCCGCCACTTGCATCTCCACTCTCTTCAACTTACTCTTACTCGCGGCGGCGCTCTCTGTGGTCGCCTCCAATCCTCTTCTAACCTCCTCGACCTCTCTTTCCCACCCCGCGCCCTCCCCTCTTTCTGCCACGTCATCCACCCTCCTTCCAATCTCGTCCATGTGACACGAATGTTTTTCAAACTCGGCGCTAAAGCGCAATTCCATCCGGCGCATCTCACCCGTCATGTCTCCCCGCCACTTATTAAACGCTCTTAACTCGGACTCTACTCCCTTCTGTCCCGCCCTCACCTTTGCCAAGGCCGCCTGATTCCCCTTTACCTGTTCCTGCACTGCTGCAATCTTCCGCTCCGTCACCCTATCACTCTCTCCAACCTGCGTGGCCAAGTTGCTAACGTGCGCGCTAAGCTCCGCTATCTCGCGCCCTTCGCGTGCGTGCGCCTTCGCCTGCATATCGACCTTGCTCTCCAAGGCCTTGAGCCTGTCGGTGAGCTTCGTGACGTCATCATTCTTTTCATCCAAGCGTTGCTGCAACGTATCGACGACATTGGTCAGCTCCTTCTCCCTGGCGGCCCATGCGGCGACCTCGTCCTCCGCGCCGGAATCAGACAACGAGGAGGTCGTGCGCACATGCGGCGACGTGGGCGGCGCGGAGTGCCCCAGGGCGCGCGCGACGGCCGATTGGACCGCGGTGTCCAGGGCAGCCGCCAGCGCGGAGGACGGGTCCGGGCGCGGCAGGCGGTCGCGCCGCGGCGGGTGCAGAGGGACGGGCTCCGGAGAGGCGGTCGAGGTCGTGGGCGATGGCTGCCAGATGGACGGGATCCACAGCGGGAGCGAAGGCGGCGGCGTGGAGCCCACGGGCGGCGACGTCGGGCAGTCGCACGAGCTGCGCTCGACGCCGGTGTTGTGCCGCGCCGTGACGTAGCTGGCAGGGCGTCGGCCGCCAGCCATTTTTTGCGTGGCGGCTAGAGCGGGGCGGGAGGGGTGGAGGTTCGGTGAGGGGAGTGCAATGAAGGTGCGTACTCGCCGTTAGGGAGTGGCGAGCGGAATGCGGGGAGGACTTGAAGGTACAAATTGTGGGCAGGGCGAGTGCCGCTCCGCCGCTACAGTGGTCAAATCGGACGGTGCTTACGCAGCACCTGAAAAGCCGTACAGGTAGACAACGTGTGACCTGGCGTTGGTGTTCAACGTGTTCCGCCGGCATCACCGACTCCCAGCCATTTAGGTTGCTCCTTCCGGACATCGATCTATCCAATGACATACCGCTAACATACTGCACCGGCGAATGGGAATAAGTTACTGTTCGACAAGTGGCTGGCAGGACGGGGGGCTAGCTGTAAGCATCAGATGAAAAGCGCCGTTGTTTTTGTGGTTTCATCGCGAGCTCCATTGGGTTGTACTGTACACACGGCCTGGCAGAGTGCAAATAAAGTTGAGTTAATGCTGCGTTTTAGTGGGGCGATCGTGGTCTTTTTTGTGGCAAAAAGGGGGTGAAATGGCTTTTCTTGTAGTGTTGAGGGGGTGAATTACGCGAATGTGTTGCATAAGGGGGGCGAAGGGAAGAATATCAGTAGTATGTTAGACCGGACCACTGAAATGTCGCCTTTGGTCACCCGTCCCAAACAACACAATTGGGATTCTTCGCCCGTGTAGTAATCCAAAATGGCAAGTAATCGAGCTATTAAACTCAACATTTCTAGAACGCGGATACTGTAGGGACAATTATTCTCGTGATCGGCCACGCCGATGTGGCCCCCTTATCGACTGTTTCAACCTCCACAATACGCCACACATGTACGATACAATACGCCACACATGTACGTGAGCGGGTGCCGGCCCATGCGCGCGCGGCTGTGGTCGGCGGCGAAGTACGCCGTGGCGGGGCGGGGGAACGCGACGCTGCGGGGGGGCCAGATGCGCACCGCGGCGGAGGAGATGGTCGAGGGCGACGGGTAGGTCGAGGCGATGTACGAGGCGTACCCGTACGTGGACGGGGAGGGGTGGCCGAACGGCACGCCAAGGGAGAAGAGGCTGGTGCCGGATTACGTGGTGAGGGCCGGGAGGCTCGAGGAGGACCTGGGCGCGCTGCTCACGGCGATGGGGTGCGCGGCGCGGTTTCGCAGCGACAACGTGCACGAGGAGCGCGGCGCGGACGGGTTTCTGGAGGGCGTGCAGCTCGCGCATGCGGACGCGACGTACCGCCGGCTGGAGCGGCTGGCGAGGGAGGGCAATGAGAGGGGGCTGCGGAAGGTCCGGGACTTGATGGCCGCGGCGGAGTGAGTTGTCCGAGCGGGCATTCCCGCGGATTCCGAAACGTGGGGGGCGGTCGGTTGTCAGTTGTTTCGAGGGCATCGCCCGAAATGCTCTCTGAAACAGCTGTATGGGGATACTGCAGAGTAGCCCAGTAGCCGCTCTTTTAGTAACGCCTTAGTATCCGATTTCGCCTGTCATTTAGTACAATTTATAGCACCGTCCACTTTGTTCAGATTCTGTCGCCCCTCACGAACAACCAAATTCTTTTCTGTCACCCCCATGTTGAAGACGTCACCCATACGATCCCTACAAATATTTCTCAATCGGATGGGTGCCTCAGCAAATTTTGACCGCGTCACCCCCTCAACACTACAAGAAAAGCCATTTCACCCCCTTTTTGCCACAAAAAAGACCACGATCGCCCCACTAAACGCAAAATCTCCCAATAAAGTTTACTTGTGATTTGAAGAAGCTCCGGGAAGCTCTCAGAGTATTCCCCAGAGCATTCTTCCGTTGCAAATGGGCGTAGAAAATGCTGAAACGTTCTTTCTGTATGACGTGGACACGTGTATATCCCAGACGTCTCTATGTCCGAACAGTATGCAACGGTATTGCACACAGCGCCAAGCGATGCTATACGCGAGATGCCGCTTCTCAGTGGAGCAAGCGATGCGCGGTTGGGAAGACCTTGATCTTCGGTGCATTAATTCGCCGCGGGAGCAGAGCGTCTCGTGTGTCGACGAGTGTTGAGCCACAGGCTTTGGCATAATCATCTCTTTCCCTGAGACCTTGCAGCTAAATTGTATGGCCAGAACTAGGCCATGCTTTGGTACAGTGTAGAGCAAGCCTTCTCTTCTTTAGCACAGTACACCTGATCACAGCAATTAACCTTGGTCTATATATTAACCTGGATTCAGAAATAAACTGGACCAGGTTATTATTGGTTTTGACCTGGAGGAAACAGTCTTATGATAAGTCGCATTTAGAGTTCAAAAAGGGCGAGAACGCATGTCGCCGCCTCGATATGGTCTTTGGGAAGAGAAGCAGCTCTTTTCTGAGCTGCAGACAATAATATCCGAGCATCGTGTCCATTTCAATGGGCAAGAAGTGGAGCCGTAATTTCTTGAATACTTGTCAGCAATGTTAGAAATCAAGGTTAATCCAGTGGTTCACAAACAAACTGGACCATGTTATATCTGATTTGACCATATATTAATCTGGATTCACAATTAATCCGGACCATGTTAAATATGGTTATAGACCTGAAAAAGGGGCTTCAGAATTAAGTTGGCCCAGGTTAATTGCTGTGATCAGTGTACTGTGCTTGGTAGTACTACTTAAACATATCTTTTTGATACGCGACGTCGCCATGACCTCGGTGGAATTTACGGACGCCCCTGCGCTGTCGGACAGACACGACCCCCGTAGGCTTAGCTGCGGCTCGCCCCGGGAGCCGAAACCAACATCAACTTACATCCCCTATTGTATATATCAGAAACAAACCTACGTCAACTGCACACCACGCGAGAAGCTGCCCCTTATAACCACGGCAATTGCGAAGATACCGACAACGCATCCCCCTGCACTCCGCTCCTACGGCATGCCCTCGAGCCCCGACGCCCCGCCAAACAGCACATGAATACCTACAGTGCCCAAGGGTACTGTACGTACATACAGAATACATTGTACCGTACATGTTGTGGCGGTACTACTGTATGCACATCACTTGTACAGAGAAATGCATACTGTACAATACCGTCACCACATAGCATCGCATCTCGCCAAGGTCAGATGCCAACTGTACGGCTGTACTCGTCTGCAATAACGTTGCAGCATTCCTCCTTCACGGCCGCCTCTCTCGCAAGACCGCGGCGCGACTTCACCGCCCTGCGCCGGGGCGCGGTCTAACTTACCTTACGCGCGCGCCTGCACAGCACGCGCGCTGTCGAGATAGCGATGACGCACAAATCCCGAGGACCCCCGTAGCCCGCGCGCGCCGCCCTCTATGCTTGCCGGACGGTATCACGCCGCGCACCGTAATGCACGAGTCCACTTGTGCAAGTGCTGCTCCCTCGCTGCGGGAGCGAGCCGCTGCAACCCCCGCCAGCAAGGGGTACAGAAAAAATCCGCGCTGTTCAACAGCACATGGGGAAACCTTAAGACGCTCGCCCAGACTCGTGCCAGCGGCGTGCAGCGTGCGACGGCTTGTCCCGTGCCCCTCTCGCTTTCTCGAGCCCCTTCCCCGAAAACCCTCGCAGCGGCGGCTCTGGCTCGCATTTCGAACGTTAGCGCTCTACCTTTTTTGTTCCGCGTGATGAGTTACTTGTTCACCTTCCGCATACCCCCAGGCGTACACGGGACATCAGCTCCGTACTGTACACGCCTGAGGGAGGGAGGGAGGGGTGGCGGAGGGGGGGAGGGGGGTAGGGGCGTTGG